ACAAACTGCACCCCATCCAGATAGACTTGCATCACTATGTATGAAAATATCAATACTGGGTTCACAAAATCTCTTTCCATTATGTTGGGCAATATTGTGGATTACCCAGTATAAATCAGATTGTGCTTCGGCACTTAATGTGACCATTTGCTCATAGTTGGGTTGTTCGCCTTGAGACAGAGCCCCTGACTTGCAAATTTCTAGGGATCGGTAAGATAAGGAAGCCTAATTCCTCTAAAATGTGGGTTATGGCAGATAATTGCTCTTTACATTCATCAAATGAACTTGCAATCAACAAAATATCATCAATGTAAATAAAAACTTTAAAACCAAGAAATCTAAAATGGGCCATGATAGGTTTAAAAATCTTGGTAAATACACGAGGTGCTAAACGGTACCCAAATGGTAGGCAAGTGAATTCAAACACCTTAGACTGCCAAAGAAACCGAAGGTATTTCCTATGTGGTTGGAAAATAGGAACACTAAAATAGGCATCTTTAAGATCCAGGGAGACCATGTAATCTCCAGGAGAAATGGCATTCAAAACCATTTGTATGTTTTCCATTTTAAAATGAATTGTCTCCACAAAATGATTGAGTGGTTTTAAATTTATAACCGGCCAAAAATCACCAGTTTTCTTTGGTACTAGAAATATGTTAGATATAAATTCATTTTTACAATGAGTAACTTCAGTAATGGCACCTTTTTTAATGAGTTTCTGCACCTCATCCTCAATCAATTGAACTTCATCCTTGCTAAAATTGGGAGAAGTAGACAAGTTTGCCTGATGAGGAAGAGATGCAAACTCAAGGTGATAACCGGAAACTGTTTAAAGGATCCAAGGATCACTAGTGATTTTCCTCCAGTTTTTAATATAGTTTTTAAGGTTACCAACATGTACCTCATATTTAAGCTTTGTCCTTGTTCAGAAACTTTGTCGTGGGTGGCATTGCTCTTGTTGACCATTGATTTCGGTCGCAAAAATAATTTCCACAACCTCGGTAGCCTAAAAATGTCCTCTTGTTTGAACCTTGGTAGGCGCCAGAACTTTTATAGGGTTTCCCATTATTTCTGGAAATTTTGTTGACCTCTCCAATCTCCTTAATATGTTTGGTAATTCATCACCAAAAAGATGTGCGGTGATTGCTTGTGACCTGCTACATACAGCTTGATAAGGTTTGGCTATATCAGGTTTGAGCATGTCTTTTCTCTTCAAAGAAGTGAGATACGATGCATGACCAATGAATGCGACTGCATCTGCCAACATTGGAAGGAATAACATTGGATCTATATTGGATCTCTCCTGCTTGGCCTTAAATGTGGAATGAAACAACTGAAGGATGGGTTGGGCAGCCTTAACAATAGATCTTTGCAGTTCTTGCATACCAAGGTCTCTGTTCTTCAATTCCTTTGGTAAGTTAAACCATAGTCCCAAGTTAACTTTAGGAACGGACAAATTTGGACAATTCAAAGGTGTCTTGTATTTATCCTGCAGCTCCTTTAGCTTCGCGTCCATCCGTTTCTTAGAACAAGCACCGTTGATTCTCTGAGCTATGACCTCCAGTATTTCGGGACCAAATTGCTCAGACTCTTCAAATAAAGAAGGGAGTATAAACTCCTCCCCGTTTGGTTTATCGACTTTGTCAACCGAACTAGCCTCTGGGAAATCAATAGGCTTGGTCGGATTGAAGGCAGTCGCTAAACTCACTTCAGATTGAGTGTCTAGAGCCTCTGAGCCAGGGTGCTCTGCGACGCCATTTTGATTCAATTTCATTGCAATAAGATTAATACTCTCCATTGTCTTATCAACACCTAGTTGTTCTTTAGGGTCATCGATATCGACACTAACTGCATCGCCGTCGGAATCTGGTTTATCAGGTTGGCTTTCGTCAATGAGAATAGTGGATTGACTTGATTCGTTGGCCGTCGAGATCGGTTGTTGTTGCTTTTTGACATCGTTCAAACGCGAAGCTGGTCTAAATTACACCGAAAAATATATCTGAACATCAGACAAGCACAGCTAATGCAAATGAACCTCAAATTAAATTAAACATACAAACCTGAGTCGGATTAAATTAATATGAAACAACCAATTGACCATCCAAAAGCACAAAAGAAAGAACTGTCTGTGAAGCTATGTTCTGGGGTTTTGTTGCTTCTAATTGGCATTTGAATAGGTTTTGAAACGTGACCGCTGACCAAAGCCTGATTAAAAGTATGCATAACAAGACGCCTGTTCTGGCGTTAACTCCGGCGCTCGTGCCACTCTTTAATATTGAGCTTCTGAACATAAACAATACAGTTCATATTCGCATTTACATACCTTGCGAACCTATGCGTTAACATATGCGTTATATGTTCTAAGTATCTTGAACCAACTACCTTGTTATAAAGAAAACTCATACCAAAATGACCCACTCGAGTCCGGTTTTGTCTCCTTTACCAAACCGTCTACCCTTAAGTACACGGTTAAAACGACAAGAGAACAGTTTACAAGTCACGAGAACAGTCATCACAAAGCATACAAAAAATATTTAAAAAATCAACTTTTAAAATGAACAGTCCTCATGGTATTGAAAGAAATATTCTCAATAGGGGGGGGGGGGGGGTGGTAATCTATTAATTTTGGCTAGCCATCCAAGGTTAATCTTTATGAAAAAACAAAAAACATGAATAAATAGGTAAGATAAGATAAGATAAATATTATAAGGGAAATATTACATTTAAGTCATAAAAATAATAATTTAATTAATATTCTGCCAATAACCAAAATATTCTGCCAATAATAACCTTCACAGCATGCATGCTTGCTCATTGCACACATGCAGCATGCACTGAATTTTGAAATATACAGGGTGTATCAAAAAAAAGGAGACCTTTAGAAATCAAGCTATTGTTAAAATTTGAATACTTTTTCAATTGCATTTGCACATATGCTAAACCGTGGTATTTCTATGGACTGCAGCTTCAAAGGAATCCCAGAAGGATTGCCAGTTTAAGGGGTTCCCAGAAAATATAGGTAGATTCAGTTTTGGTAGTTTGCACATTATTTGAGAGGCGGAGGGACTGGAGGGTGTAGTAATGTGGACCTGAGATTCAGTCGCTTCTGTGGGGTCATCAGTGATCGGAGAGTTACTGGAGTTTTGCTCTACTGGGGGTTCCAGGTTTATGGGTGGAGACTGGACATCGTCTTGTGCAAACGACGGTTCAACGTTTGTATGCGTGTTCACGTTTTGAGTATTCGAGACAGATGGAATAGATGGTGTATTCGCATGGTTATTTTCTTCGATTGTAGTAGGTTGTTCGTTGGTACCGATTCTAGTATTGATAATATCAATGTACTTACGAATATGGTTGATTTTCTCTTCTAAGTTACAGCTCAATTCTTCGGCTGTGAATATCTCTGACTCTAGTTCTTCTGGGTTTGTGATCTTCGCTTCAATTTGTTGGTCTAAATCTCGTATTAAGTCCCTTTTTCTTACCAGTTGTTCAACAGATGTTTTCAAGCTACATAACTCTGCTTCATCTGGGTCTTCCTTTTGTAGAATTTCGCTTGCTTTGTTTGCCACTTTAGTCACATGCGCTTTATGAGCACGTCGTGAGGCTTGTAATCTTGCGAGTTCCTCCATTCTGATCCTGGTCACGGCACAATGTAATGATTTGCGAGGTTCGAGTGAATGATGGAGGAAACAATGAGTATTTTCGTTGATTTATTGTATTACAAACAACACATTTACATAAACGTTTCAATACGATAGAGAGCACATAAAAGCATGTGTTCACAGGATCACACCGACGAGTACAATTACAGATACAATGTTGATATGAATATTACGAAAAACACCAATTTACAGCTGTTTGATAATTTTGATTTTAAAATTATTTTACCTTTAGTCTTTTTTTACGAATAATTAATTTTTTCTAAGTAATGAAATATTTATGCGGTTGCCTTTGGACCACACAGGCGGTGAACGCAAATCACAGACTGCAATTTCCATGGCCTTACAACCTGACTTAAATGAAAGATATGATTTATCAGGTGATCTTCGTATTCCATCAACTTCGGTAACGACTGAACCACTTGTATTGAATGAAATGCTGGATGAAGAATACAGAACAATGGTACAATCATTCAATAAGAAACAAAAGGAATTACCATGTTTTACATCTCACTAAGACATCCAATAAACCATTTTATTGTTTCCTAAGTGGTGGAAGAGTTGTTGCAAAATCTAATTTAAAGGACATTCGCAATGAAAATTTTATTCAACCGTCTGATTACAGATATGGTGTTAATTTGTTCCAAAAATATTTCTTTTATGAGTTATTATTTTCACCACATTTCAGTTAAAATTTGGACCTGGTCCGCAATATTGGATCAATTTTTGGAAACATTATATTTCGCGGAAGTAACGTCATTTGATGGGTTCCCTAAACACATCCATATATTTTACTAGCGTGTTACTGTGTTTATTGAGATTTGTTGGTTTAAAAAGGGAGCTGTAGTTTTTTTATGATTGTCATGGAACATATTCATGAAAACCAGTAGAAGTTTGCCCTACCTCATTTAAGCGATGATAGCAATGCTGAATGCGGTAGTGATCCATCTTCATCTGACAAAGATTTCGATCGCGAGGTCGAAAGAGCAAATGCCTGGCTTGAAGAACTTAGTTGGTGTAAATGTGGAAATTTATTTACATTTTTGAACAATTGAACTTCTATACTTTTTAAAGTACGATGTGCTTCTGAATTTCGCGATCGAACAACATTCAGGTTCACAAGGCATCTAAAATGAGTATGAACTGTATTGTTTATGTTCAGAGGCTTTATATTAAAGACTGGCATGTGTGTGGCACACCGGAGTAAATGCCAGAACAGGCATCTTGTTTATATTAAAATATAGTAAATTTGTAAACAGGGGAAAATATGCACGCAAACATATGCACGCAAACATATGCACGAGAAAGGAAACCGCCTGTCTCACACGCTAACATAAACAGATGGAAGAATGGGGGCAGTGTGGTTAGAAAGTTAATTGAGTTGTGGGGAAAAACATCCTGGGACATGCATAAATTGTGTGAAGGAAATCGATGTAAAATCGCATAATATCCCTCTTAGCTTTAGTATAAATATAAATATAAGTAGAATTGTAAACTTTGGGAGATTGGTAAGTTGTGTTGTCACTGTAACGCTGTGTTGTGTATCGACATGTACTATGTGTGTAAATGTGTGTACATAGTTCATATTCAATGTTCTCTTTCAAATATTTTGAGAAACATGTCCCTGATGCATTCATTTTGCATACGTATTTGATTGTGTTCCCTCTCTATAACTCTATTTTACCAAATTTTTAAAGTTGCCATATGAGGATACAACAATAGTTTATGTAATCATATTTCCCGAACCCATCAAATGAGTCACAAATGTATGCTTGCATAAATTAGCATAAAGCTGTATTTTCAAAATGGCGGACCACCGACAAACATTCTTGGAAATTTTCTCAAGAACTAAATATGATAGACACATAAAAACATTAAATTAAGTATTTCCTAGGTGATTTAAACAGATTTGGCGAATAAAAATTTTGTTGCCAATGTCCTTTAACAAAATCAGTTCATCAAGCTGCTTTCAAAATACTATAACAGCCGTGCAGGAGAAAATTTATTATAAAATTAAAACACTTTTATTAGCTCCAACTGGCAAAGCTGCATACCTAATTGATGGCAACATGATACATACCAGTTAGTCAATCTATCAAACACTCAAATATTCCTGACTCTGAAATGATATCTGGTGTTTGTGAAACATATTTTAGCAACCATAAAGCAAAATGGATTTCATGGAAACCAACAACATAAAGGTTTTTTGTGGCTAGCCCGTTTGCAGAGCTAGCCCGTTCGTGAGCGATGCATGTTGTCTGTCCGAATTTTCGTAAAGTATTGACAACCCGAAGTTGTCCCGAATTTGGCGATCTTGTGTTTCGGCATCTTATCGGAAAACAACGTCATAACAGAGTTTTTGACACACAACTGTTACGTTTAATACACGGCTGACACGAGACAAAAATTTTCACATTTTTCATGGTAAGTAACTAGGCTTAAAAAATCATATTTCACTTTACGGTTGTTATTTTGTTAGTGAAAATCATTTTGATTATCAACAACACTATATTTAATCTAAATCTGTTCTGTTCAAAGGTAATTTTGGTATGCTCAAGAACGTCCTTGTATTTAATTCTGTGACATCATAATCTCAAGTGCTAAACTGAGTTAACTGACCTTGGGACGATATAACCCGTAAACCGGCTCCTGGGAACCAAAATGTTTCTTGAGCAATTCTTGGTTTCCATCTTAGTTGATTCTACAAAGTTTTAATACTTCTACTTTTCAAGATATCAAATTGAGTTGATTTAATTTTTCTTTGTTTACTTTGTAACTGCTTATCATCTCTATCATATTATTTGGTGGCTATTAAAATACAGCAATGATGAAAAAATTATTTGTGCACATATTTTGAAAAATCAACCAAGTATTTGGTGGTTAAAATACAGCAACGATGAAAAAATTATTTGTGCACATATTTTGAAAAATCAACCAAGATGGTGGCAATTGCAAACAGCCTATTTTTGTGCACATGTTTTGAAAAATCAACCAAGATGGTGGCAATTGCAAACCACCTATATTTCCAATATCCATCATTATTTCCAGGTCTTGCATGACCATGACATGACACGATAATTTAGACTATTTGATAAACATGTTGTTATAAAGTTAGTTTTTAAATTATACTCTTTCCTGTTTAGATACATCTGATTCAAAGGATAATAAATTACTTTGCTTTGTCCATACACTTTCACCAGTGAAAAAAGCTACAAATTCTGGCAGACAATATTTTCACTGCACACTTCAGACAAAAAATAAGGCAGTAAGAGCAGTATGCTTTTTCCCAGAAAAACATGAGAAGTTTCAGTCCAGTGAACAAAGCAAAAGTCCATTAAAGCTAGAAAATTGCAAGCAACCTGAGAGTAATGGACAGGACCTAATTGTAACCAAATACACTAAGATAACACCATTAGCTCATGATCGAGTAGCTTTCCAGTAATCTGATGAACTGACACAGAAATCAAAGGTAACTGATATCTCAACCTTGGCAAAAATAGCAAAAGAACAACTGGTAATGGTAAGTTGCACAGGTGTCAGGAGTTGACATTTGTGAAACATGACAACACAGAGCTAAGGAAGCAAGAACTTATTATCCGAGACAATACAGGTTCCATTGAACTTGTTCTTTGGAATGAGTATGTTGACCTGCTGGAAGCTCACAAGACATATATTCTAACAAACTTGAGACTAAAGGAGTCAAAGTTTGGTCGTTATGTTAAACCATATGCTATACCACTTGTGGAATCTTTATGCATTTGAAAAGAATGTAAAAAGTTAGTTAATATATTAAAAAAAGTTTTTTAATTTAGTGCAACAATTTTGAAGATACTAGCCTTTAAACTACCTGCAGTTCCTGAGTCCCAGGCTTCTGTAAACAAAGGGCAGTTTCAAATTGAATAGCCGTGTTTAAGCCCAGGAGGTTGGGACTCAGGAACCGCAGGTAGTTTAGAGGCTTGTATCTTCGAAATTATTGCACTAAGTCAAAAAACTTTTTACGTTCTTTTCAAATGCATAAAGATCCCACGAGTGATATAGGCACTTTAACACAGCAAAGTCAGAAAAATTCTCATATGAAGAGACTACAGCATTCATCCAACCTTTGGTAGAAATTGAAGAGGATGTCAAGCAACTGACAACATCAAGTGCGTTTGCAAAAATCATTGGTTTTCAGAGTGCAACAAGAAACCTGCTCTGTGCATCCTGCAACAAAAAGGTAACACAAAAGGCTGGATCGAAGGTAGGCAGTTGTGAAGGATGCAAACTGATGCAAAAAATCAGTGCCTGTAAATGTAACTGGAATGTTAGAATTTTGTTTGAAACCAGTGAGCTGAAAAAGACTCGTTTGACTATCTTCAATAATCATTGCTTGCAAAAATTGTTAAACCTTGAAATGTCCATCTGTGACCTAAATTCAACAACTGAAGATGATCTGGTTCTTGCTTTACTTGGATTTGAAAGCACATACAAAGTCACATATGACAACATTGAAAATACTGTTATAGATATTGAGTTAGATAAACTTTGATAATACCTTAAAGTGCCTATATCACTCGTGGGATCTTTATGCATTTGAAAAGAACGTAAAAAGTTAGTTAGTATATTAAAAAACTTTTTTGACTTAGTGCAATAAATTCGAAGATACAAGCCTCTAAACTACCTGCGGTTCCTGAGTCCCAACCTCCTGGGTTTAAACACGGCTATTCAATTTGAAACTGCCCTTTGTTTACAGAAGCCTGGGACTCAGGAACTGCAGGTAGTTTAAAGGCTAGTATCTTCAAAATTGTTGCACTAAATTAAAAAACTTTTTTTAATATATTAACTAACTTTTTACATTCTTTTCAAATGCATAAAGATTCCACGAGTGGTATAGGCACTGGGCAATATGATATTTTACAGTGATGGATTTCATTTATGTTGTGTGAAAGTTTTAAGTTCAAGTTGGAATGTGAGAAAAAGTTTGAATTTGACCCACTCTTAAATTTTCGCAAAGTCATGTAAACACCAGGTTTACTCATGGAATAACATGATTGTGATCTGAACTATCTATCATATTTACATGTGGAAAACGCCGTATTTACCTTATGTATACCAGATATGAAAATAAAGTGATATATTCAAAATTTATTTCGAATTTTTCTCCGTGCAAATGCGAAGCTAGTTTCATATTTCCATTGGGTTGAAAACAAGTGTCATTTACTGCAGGGGATAATACCAAGTTTGCCTGTCATTTCCTAGTGGATGTAAAGTTGATTCGTAAATGACTGTTTGCTTACATTTGCCAGTGTGGTTATTTTTATGTTTGGATTAAATTTTACTCCATGTGTAGACAGGTAGCTAAAACCTAAATTTACCAGCATTACGATAGATGCGATTATGAATTTGCATAACATTTTCCACAGTTTCATTCTACAAAACACTGTCTTTACTCTTCATTAGTTACGGATATAAAGCAGCAAATGATAAAAGTTTGTTTCTGATTTCGATGCGGAAATGCGAATACGATTTTGAATTTACGTCTTATTTCACTATGCCCCCAAAGAGAGTGCATTACTAAATAATATTACCACGTAATTCGTACATAAAGCAAATATGGGTATTATTGAATTTGCTAAAGCATGAACTATATATACTAACAAATAAAGTACTTGAATAAAAAACATTTATTTAACCAACGTTAGTATCATGTATAATTATAACATGCCATGTCTCTGTGCATCACATGCAGTTCATCAAACTATAACGATCAACCCGTGCAACAAATGGTTTATCAAAGTATACCATATGCATAAAACTACTGTGTATGTTCATTTAGGGCCCATTTTGGTGCATCTAATGGTGCAGTTCTTTGTGAGTGCACAGAACCACGGACTCTCTCGAAAACCATCCCATTTCCTCTTGAGCCCCTTTTTCTTGCAATTTTCTTATCCAAGATGGTCATCAGCTTGTCTAACTCATTACTCCGCCACTGTAACCTTTTTATGGTGAACTTTTTCGCTCTAGGCACAGGTTGTTCGTTTTCTGACCCAGATTCATTAGAATCCATGTCAGCATTAACCTGGTCATCCGAAGCTGTATCTTCCGACGACATGTATTCAGCTGTTATGATCTCTCTGTATTTAACTTTATTCTCTTCGTTGATTGAAGTTGACTCTTCAAGCGCTCTTTCTCGTAGTAGGCGCTTCTGCAAATAAGGTGAATGTATTGTTATCTGACATGATGATGATAATATACATTTAGCTACAACCATCAACTATATAGCTATTAATTTCAAATTGTGCTCAATTTTAAATTATGGCGTTCAGGTCTCACGTTGAAAAGGGCTTTTCTACCTTGCAGAGCACTGAAATTTAATTTATCATGGGTGGAAAAATTAGTAAATGGAAGGGAATTAAGGTATATAATAAAATGGAAAAATCACGAAATTTTGTTGAAGAAATCGTATAGGCACACCATATCGAAGGTTCCATATTCCAGATATCGAAGATGAAACTTACAAGGCATGCTTGTGAAATGAGAAAAAATCGAAGAAAATATTATTTTAGATTTTTACATTGGGAATTATATACGATCAATAAACCTAATACCTTCCGTCATAGGGAAAATACTTAGGAACTCAAAATGTCGATTTTTAATGGAGGCGAAGAATTTCTTAGTGTGAAATATTATAGACCTAGATACAAGACTTTTTTCACTCCACAATGTCTCCACTAAATCAACAAAACTAACAATCTTGAACAACAACAGAACATATAGCCATGCTTTAAGCGACATACATTGTATGCCATGCTGCTCGTCACGATAAAGATAACCTAAACTAATTGAAGAACCTTTATATTTGCAAATCAGCTGTGATTTTCGCCTTATTTATGATAGACAAAAGTTATCCACTAGTTATCAGAAGAAGAAAATCACATCTTAAGGTTCATAAAAATTTTCAAGAGTAAACAAGCTACGAGAATTGTTAGAGCGCATTTGTTTCATCATTATCCTCAGCCGGAAAAGAAAAGGAATCTGAATGCATTCTTGTCTAGAAAATGGTCTTAGAAGCTATATATATATATATATATATAGAAGGAAATCACAAAAGAACACATACAAATTCATTAACATACCGTGTTCTTTCGACTTCGTAATCGCTGCGTCTTTTGGACAACTTTGTCAAGCTTCTTTGCTTTCGTAACGAACTGCCTTTTCTTAGTGCGGAAGTAACAACGCATCGCAGCTACAACAATTAAATAAAAGGACAAAATGATTAGTACTAGCAAACACTAGAGGTGTGCGAGTCCGATCCGGACAGTAATTCACTCAGATTGGGCTTCGTATTTTCTTCTCGGATTGGATTATGTGAAATTTTCTTGGGATTGAGTTTGTTGTTGTGGTTTTTCGTCGAAAACGGTCGAAAGTTATTACGAATAAACAGTTTCATTTCGCTTTTTGCGTTTATAAATGTTATCACAACGACTTGGAATAAGAAGGGACGGCAAAAACTTGAGCAATATTGCCCCCTGGATACGAGATTGTGACTTTTTACCATTGGATCGGATCGGATTACTTTTTTAAGCTTTTAATCGAATCGTATTCGGATTAGAAAAATAGACAAATCTTCGCAATCAAAGAATTAATCCGATCTCACGAACACCTCTACAACACACCTAGTACACAAACCAATGGTATATATAGATGATTACACACCTTTTATAAGTTTAGCTGAAGTGTCCTTTTCTGTACTTCGCACTCCATCCATGATCTTTTGGTTGATTTCAGTGTTCTCAAAAGCCATAAAGCTTGAAAAGAAAGAAATATTGTTGTCAATGTCTCAAATACTCAATGTTGCTCGGTACAGCTTCCAAAAACCTAAAGGAAAATGGGAATAAAATTATTTTTGCTTTATTGGAAGGAATGTTAAGTACAGTTACAAAATCCGTTTAGAGGTTTTCATTATCTTCTATACTTTTTGAAATATTTGCAAACAAATTAGAGGCTGTCAACTGATATTTGGACAACTAGTTGTGTTTTTATAAATGTCTATACATGTAGGTGTTTCTGTTCGCAAATATCTCAAAAAATTAGAAAGTTATAAAAAATTTGTAAAATAACTCTGTAACTATTGTTAAAATTCTTTTATAAAATTAGAAAGAAAAAAATATATATTGTCATTTCCCTTTAAACTTCGTATTTTTACACTTATGCAGCAGAAGCTCCATCGGTTCTTTACATGTAACTGCCTAAGACAGATAAATAGACTTCTCGACGTTTTGACCTAAGGGCCTTGTCAGGAGAGTTAACAAGACGGGTAAAAGACGAATACATGAATATGCAACCCTCTCCCCCCAATTAAGCGTCTAGTTACATCCTTAGGTTGAAAGTTGCCGTAAAAGTCAATCTTAATTATTGTCCCTAATGAAGAAAGACTATAGCAAACGAACAAGAGTATGGTAAATAAGCAATGCTAGGAAAGTTACACACAGTTTACTGTTTTGTATCTCAAACACGAGGTACCGCCTAACATTGATATAATGATATATTATTATTGTGTTATAAATTATCATTGCTATATATCAGAAACAAAACTTTGGCAAGTATACTGAAAGTGAAGACATTCCTAAATTACATTACTTGCTAACCTCTTTGTGAAGTCCCAAGATAATGGATCTCCATTCTCATCTTGGAGGAAGTTGTATGTGTCTCTAACAGAAGCCTAGAAATCATTACGAGCCCATACTTATCATTACGGTTCATTTAAACAATCCTTCCATACTTCTAACCAAACTTGATCTATGATTGCCCTGTGGGGATATTCAGTGTGAGACATTTCAGTACTGGTATTGTATGGTGTACTGTACCTAGAAAATTATTCCAATATTTTCTGAAGTCTATATAAACTGGCTATTAATAAACAGCCCTGTTAATAAGAGAGGAAAATTCCGAAATTTAAATTTAAAGGATTCTTCAATTTTGAATGGTTGAAATGCATGCAGTCTATATATAAATATATGACTAATGGATTGTTTGGTTTGCACTTCCTTCATTTTTTTCAACAGTTTTTTTTGTAGATGGTTTTTTAGAACGATCGAATCATATTATCGCAATTTTTCGCACGTTCCCCCAACTGGGGACGTTGCGAAAAATGCAACTTTGGTCCTCCGGCAGGAATTGAACTTATGCCTCTGCAATTCCGGAGCAGTGCACTTCTATACATATGGGGGTTTTTATATGGAAGCAAGCCAGCCTGGATACCCAACCCAGCTTGCTTTTCGAAGATAACTTGATTTTCTTTTTATGAATCAGGCAAACTTACCAAAACAACTATAAATTGTGCATATTTTTCCATAAAGCTGAATTTAGCATTTTGGCAAATTGTCAATAAAGCATTGTTTACAATGACATATTGGCAAAATAAAACAGAGCAATGAAACAAGCAATATAACTAAACATAGGCAATGTAGCCTGGACAATTTCTTATATGAAAAATTCTCAGCCCGTCTAGGAAAGATCCCTGCTTCCCAAGGCAAGATCTTGCCTAAACAAGCTAGTCTAGCTGCTTCCATATTGATGCAAAATTAAATTAGTATAAAATAATATAGAGAGAACATGAATCAATTACAAATATTCAAGAATTTATTTACATCGTCCCTTGTGCAGTTGTCATGTTTAATAGTGGCTGGCTCAGAAACTATATATTTAGACTTACTATGTGAGCAAACTATGCATCTTAATTTAGTTTTGTTTGATTTACAGTAAATGTCATACATATAGACAAATGTCAACAATATTGATGGATCGCAATGTATTGTACGTCTTCACTCTTCAAAATTATGCTAAACTTGAAAAAGTCAGCCTGTCATGACCTTTTCAAGTTTGTTACGTACAGAAAAGATGTGCATGGGGTGACACAGCTCCTTTAAAAAAGGTCCCATATTCAGTGCTGGTAACTAAGAATTTGTATTCATACTTACTTGAACAGCTTTAGGAATGCTCACTTTCCCTCTTTTCTCTTGCAGTGTATTTCTTTGTTCAACAACATTCATTAATTGCTGATTAAATGCAGCTTGTTGTGTTAAAAATGCATTTAACTTTTCACTTAAATCATCATTTACATTCTTAAAGGCAAAACATATACAGGGCGTATCAAAAAAAGAAAACCTTTAGAATTGGAATGCCTCAGCTGAGTTTTATACAAAACCCAATGAGTGCAAGAACAATATGCACTCTTTGGTTCAGCATAATGCTCAGGCATTAGCATTATAATTACAAGGTGAATTTCTAAAGGTCTCCTTTTTTCATACACATTGTACAAGGTGAATAAAAAATGAAACTTTAGAAATTCACCCTGTAATACTTTCATATAGATTCATTAACCCATGAACTTACAATTGGATGCCTGAGTATTATACTGAAACCCATGGGTGCAAAAACACAGCTGAGTTGAATTTATATACTTGGCACTCAACTCTCAAGCCGTTTTTATACATCCTGTAGTGTAGATACAACAATAAAAATTAAAAAATTAATGGCAGCTAAAATAATTCAAGCTGAAATAGGAGGGGGACAACATATCAATTTGACTTACAAGTTGGGCCTTTGATTATGTATTCTGTAATGATATTGATGGCATAAAATGACTGGAAAAAACAAGCCTGCTCAAACATTGTCTGGTTTTTAATTTTGGCGCTAAAGTCACTCGAAGTGCTCAGGCTGCATATTTTAAAAATACTTCAGAACTGTTCTGCTAAATATCCTGTTAAACTAATAATATTGGCCAACATGCACATCTTTAACAGGCTGGGGACAATATTTTTTCACTTATGAACGATATTTACGAGTATACGATATTTACAAGTCATGAGACGATCGAGGGGAATATAGGAGATGCCGGGCAAGATATAAACATGTCATTTTTATGTCAAAACAAATCATATTAAATCATATCATATTTTAATAACATATAAGACTTACATACCTGATTTTCATATTGAAGCCTCAAAGGAGCAACTGAATGTAAGGTTCGCAGGGGTCGATGTATAAAATTAAGAGTGTCTGCAACAACTGATGTTGGGGATGAAGGTGCTGGTATTTGACTTGGGGTTTCAGAAGTATGCAGCTCATTGGTTGCCCGTACTTGTGTTCCAGTTCGACCGTTTGTTTCTGTAGCTCTTGTCGGAGTTTCGGCCGGCGGCTGTATCGAAGAAGAACGATGCAAATCAGGCACAGGGCTAGGCGTTATTTCTAAAGGCCTCGATCGACCACTTGGCGGCGTCACGCTTGAATCATTTGAAGCCGAAGCAGATTTGCTTGACTGATTAATATTTGGCCTATTAATATTCGGCCTACTAATATTCGGTCTGGTATTCGGTCTCGACCTCAATTGCCCTGAAGATCTTCTTGAAGGATGATTAGGCGGTAATCTTCCCATATTCAAATTCAAACACTTCACTGTGGGAATACCTTGCCAACTTGAGCTTGGGGCGCGAAATATTTTTATTGTTCAAGGTCAAGATCCTGGTCAAGTTCAAAGTTCACACATGGCTTATCATGTCGTTAACACGTGAAATTCTTGCCCTCGGCAGCTTCCACTTGAATAGAAAGTCATTCGATTGCAAAATTGCGGAAAACTACGTATAAGGCTTTCACTAAGTACCTAAACAGTTCACCGGGAGGTCGTGTTTTATTTATTGATATACTTAAAATGGCGGAATTTAATAGAAGAAATAGAGAAAAACGAAAGTTTTGTTAACATTGTGGTGAGTTAGTTGCTCTCAGAACGTATCGACATCATATGCAACTATTTGGCGATATGGCAGATGGAAGACAAAACAAAAAGCAAGATGTAAATTCGTCCGAGAATAATTCATCTGGATCCGACGAGGAAACGTTTGTCGGATACCCAAGCAGTGGCAACGCCAATAGTTATGAAAATATTACACAATTTTGCAATACTGGTGAGTTAACATTGTTGGTGCTGTATGATAAGTAGTTCAATGAATATATATAAAAAAACCAACAGAGATTTAGCAATAAAGAGGTTTGATATCCCTATTAGCCTTCCCCCAAAAGAGATCACTGTTTATTCTGTGATTGTTTGAAGGGACAATGCTATATTGATAGTCAAAATATATGAAATATAAACTTAGGTAAGTATTAACTGCCAATATCCAATTTTTGCAAAATTAACAAATGAAGTATATGTATCTCCACTTTAAACTATGCTTTAAATTTA